GCAAGCCGCTGCTTCTTTCAAAACGGTTGATTGCATATTGTAGGGACGCATGTAGGGAACACAAAACCATGTTTCATTTTCGCTGAACGGTTATAGCAGTACCAAAAAAGCATAAGGGTACTGTTAAGGGTTCGATCCCCCGTGGCGACTAAATTTTGCATTTGGGTTGGCGCCTACGGTTTGGTGCCAAATCGCGCTAAATATCAAAATCAGATGTCAAATTCATCGTCAGGACCATTTTGAAGCCAACAAGTGGCCGCCAACCTTGATTGCAAAATTTAGTCGCCGCGGGGATTGAAACCATCAAGTATTATTCATCACTTTTTTGGTACTACTATACCCGCGTTCAAGTCGCAAAGAAAAATGTTTGTGCTTCCATAACGGCGTCCCTACCATAATCCGAGGACGTTCTAAAAGCGCAGCTTGCCTTTAGACGTCCTTGTAGGCTGTTCATGCTGTACCATTTTCAATAAATATTGAAAAGAGATCATCCAATTCTAACTTCAACGACAATATAGCGATCAAGATGTGTTCGCCGAACGGTTTTTCGTGGTCCCTTTTTTGCAGGAAAAAACAACGGTGATCTCAAAACTTCCTCCTTTTGAATATCCTGATTCTTCAAAGCTCAAAGATGTAAAAACGTAGTATTATAGCCCGTTCCAGAGATACGAAAGATTTATAGGGATTAGGTGTCGTATCTCTGGAACGGGCTGCACGATGCGGTCGATAACTACAGCAGTGGTAAAAGATGTTTGCCGGAACACTCTCTGCATGTTTTTTTTCTTCAAAACGATACATGAAGGCGTTCGTGGCCTTAGGGGGGACTTCCAAAACAGAGCATTTGAGAACAGCTGGTGGGTGGCCTAGGACTATGTAAGGAAGCCCAGGGAATAAACACCAGGGAGAACAAAGTTTGCTTACGTCCTCCCCAGAATCCCTCTTACATAGGCTTGGTCTCAAGTTCTGTAGTTGGCTTACTCACTTCAGTGTTTCTCCTAGCGATAAGGGCGCCATACATTAAGTCCAAATGAAATAATTATCTTTCTTCAAATTTTATTCAATCTCACTGAAGGAGTTAGGGAATTAAAAGACATAACTTGTGAGGATTCATGAGCGACAAAACCATTTTGCTGAGCACTTTGACTGCTACTGTAGTTCAACCTAATACTTTTCAACTCCCCAAATCAATTTGCAGGAGCGCCTTGAGCGCAGGGCGGTCTTTTTGTATACCGTGCCGAGGTGTTTGCAATGCAGCTACATTGGTATGGAATAAAATGATCATCAGCATTAAAAATTCACGTCTACTAAATTTTTCCAGGCTTTCGCTATGCGTGTTCTTGTGTTCTGTAGACTAAGTGGTGTCGTGAGAAAGCCTAGAAAATCCCCATGTCATGTCTGGTGATTGATTATTTTATGCTTCTTCTTTGATGCTACGTCTGCATTGCAAATTCACCTAGGTGCGAGATATAAAAGGACAAAGTATTCGACGTCGACCAATCTTATTTTGGGATGTGCCACGCGTTCCTACTTCCATTCGGCGTCGTAGGTAGAGCATTTGAATGCGGTGTGGCCTATACAATGACTAGCGGAGGCAGAGGGATCGAAGACTTCATTGGCCTCGATTACCACTCCGTACGCGCGTTATTCGGCGCTGCTTGCCACTACACCGCCTTACAAATAGAGACGAGCCTTTTTCTTTTTTTTTCCTCTAAACTTGGCTAGAAAAAAACTGAGTTTGTTCCAGTAGCAGCCAAAAACATGGTGGTGTTAAGCTCGCCATTACTTGCTCGTTTGCCCTCTTATGCTTCGACTTTTTTCACCCTTTCTTGTTTTTGGTTCTTTCTTATCAATTCCTCTAAGCATTTTTTTCTTGATGCTTTCCATCCCTGCAAAAGTGTTCCCTGTGTTGATCCTAGTACAAGGCAGCATTATTCCATTACTGCCCGTCGATGTTTTTGCATGTTCGACACCTCTCAATTCTCTCATTTCTCTATGCGCCACAATATTCATGTTCCCCTTTACTATTTGGTTTGTTGCCACATTTTGAATCTTCCAGAGAATTAGATTTCATTTAGAGGCAGAGGTACCTATACACCATTGGCGAGCGAAGCATAGCGCGGCAAAATCAGTGTTGATTGGTGGTCTAAGTGGAGGTTACCTTATTAAACGCTTCAAGTGGAGTATTTGGGCCTGAATACGGGCCTGTTATAGTGTACGGACCGTGATGCTCTTCTGTAAGTTACAAACAAAGGAAAGCTGCTGGTTCTTAGTCAACATATTGATACGATATGCTGCCGTAATTTGCTTCCTCGCTTACATCTGCTTGTCCTACAGTTGGATGTCTTCCTTAATTAACTGGGGAAGAGGATGCTGCCCTCATTCAAATGCTTCGTAAATTGTAAATCAGGCCTTCGGGAATTGCTACCGAGCACTCTACTTTTTAGATTACAGATTTTTCAGATTTTGATAGGGCAGCACTGGCTGTACGCTCTTTGGTTTGATTAAAGAATTTCTGAAGTTTTTGTTGTTCAGCGTTTTATTCTATTCAAAGAAAGGCGTTCATTTGAAGATCTTCTTCTATGCGCCGTAATGAGATGACGAAAATTTGTTGATACGTTTTCAAATCCAGGCCTATTCTTCGACAAAAGTTAATCGTTCACTTTTCTGTACGTTGTCAAAGTGGATTGGCAACACAAAATAGGAATCGATGAGAATTGCAAGGCGCCCACCTGAACGATCGCATTGGTTGCAGGACGGTGCGGTTTCGATGACGACAACTGATAGTAATTGGTGGAATAGACCCTTCACGTCAATGCGTTGGCAGATGTGGTTAACCACGCTCTCACGTCCTCTGGCATAGACGTCGCCATGGGGCTGGACTTAGACCCTAAGCGCGCTGCGAGACGTGTTAGGACCGCTCTTTGAAAGTCCTTACACCATAGACGTTCAACGACGGTCATCAAATATAGCACCGCCCTCCATTTCGTCGATCACTGCTTTAAGTGGAAAGTCCGCGGAACGAACTTTTAACCATATTCTCTCACAACTACGTTATTAACAAGTTAATGACAAAGCGTAACGCCCCGCCCCCCCCCCCCCCACCCAGATCTTCTTTACCTATGCATTGTGGTAAACATCTTGATCAATAATGTCATTATCATTCCTGCTGATAATTTCTTGTCTTCTATGTTAATATTGATTTTCTTCGTATTTCAGGCTTGTTTTCCTCCCTGATCAGTTTTTCCCTCCCCAGGATTTCCGAATTATTTTTCTGACTTTGTGTTTAGGACGCAGTAATATTAATTGTTGTGTTCGAGAGCATCTGGTGACTCTATGTGAAAACGCATTAATCATCTGACTGACCAGCACCATTAATGAGAGGCTTTCTTCTGGCGGGTTGCGCTTGCGTCAGTCATTTCGTTTTCGTCCCGCTCTTTTTAACAAATATCTGAGTGTGCTTTTGAAAAGAAACGGTATTTTATCAACAGTTCGTATATTTCAGCAGAAGGATGGAGCTGACGCCAGCATGCATAGGGTGCTCATCGAAGCACCTGATGGCCACATGGCAGGGTGATCGGATATTTGGCCGGTGTCTAGTCAGCACTGCAATGGGTCGACCACGACACCGGAGCGCACCGGATCGGCTATTACGCGAATCTGGCGCGGGCGGGTTGACCACGCCCAGATTAGCCCGCCCTATTCTTCTTGTCACAATCGAGTGTAGACTTTCGTTTCCTAGCCTTGACACTTTTCCCTCCGGACCGTTCGAAAATTTCTTAACTATCTCGTCCACTATCATTCGTGAGCGATTCCAAGATGTGCTGGAGCTTAGAATATCTGAGATACCATCAGGGCGGTTGAGATCCATCTCATTGCAGGATTTGGTGGCTTGGCAGCTCTATACATCTAGGTCGCCTTCATAGAGATCTCTATGTCGCGTTCATAGTCGGCGATTCAATCGCGCGATTGATTCGCCGAGCATAAACACGGCCCGAAGCTGCGCTCTTTTTGACTGATCTATCCTGAGTAATTAGGCTGCAGAGTACCAACGGCTTTTTGAACAGTCTTTCGCAACCGAACAATAATAATCGGCATATTTTCAGGAGCCGTGGGCATCGGTTGCTTCGTTTGCAGTTCGTTCGATGGAAACAACAGGGCCTGTGAAGACCCATTCAACAGCACGCTGGAGGCCTCTTCCAAAGTGAGACATTTATGATCGATTCATTTGCTTCTATTGCTAAGGAAGAATTTTTCAAAAATATTGTCTAGGGTTCATAGGCAGTAGAAGTACTAATGTTCGTCCATAAAACTATTACAATGCTTCGTATTCCCATAGATGACGTCATATAAAACCAAAAGCAGTATACGTCCCACGATTCCCAACGTATCATATTTCGCCCATACAATGTTTTACGCGCCAATCGATGCAGAAATCTGTGCCTTGAGGACCACGTAGCAATTAGGCGATTCAGAAGGTGTAGAAGCTCGGTTCACATTCAGGATAGGACTTGACCGGAGTCATGCAACAGCCTGATATGTTCGAGGTGAGAAATGCTCGTTCGAAGGTTTAGCCTGCGATTGGTAAAAAATGTAAGCAGTCTGGTCCAGAATAGAAGCCCTTGTGGTGATTGGTCCAACAGTGATGAAAGAAAGCAAAAAAAATGCTAAAAACCCTTGAAATCACTCTGCGTGCCGGTCATGTGGGCGAGTTTTGCGCTTCAACCCTACAGATACCTTATGGGTTAGCGCCGTCTTTACCATATTTTATCGTGTTTTACCAAGTCAGGGGCTAATCAATAAGACTCACGTGGGGGCGGGGTGCAAACTCCGCCCACTTGGCCAGAGCGCTCAATTTCACGAGCATTCGACACCTTTCTTGTTCTCTTTAATTGCATGCTTTCATTTTTTAAGTTAAACTTTTATCTATTAGGTCGCGGTATGAGCCTTTAAGAAGCTTTTCCGCCCAGTCATTATGAAGCTACTGTTCACATTCTGATACCTAATGTTATAATTTCTCAGGGCATATTTCCATCATGTATCATTGCTAGCTAGGGGCCGTTCCTGCTTGTCCTTAACCGTCAACTTGTAAATTAGCATTCCTTCGTAGCTGAAATAAGGGGGGTAGCGTAGTAGGTCAAGACGCTGCATGGCTTTGCTACGGAATTGAATCCAGCCAAATTTACTGTGACAATTACCTGCACCAGTTCCTATTACCGAAGGGCGTATTCAAACAAGCGACAATCTTTGATGGTAGTCTTGTACAGGGTGTACTCACAAAAAGAACTCAGATTTACCGCTACAAAACTCACAGCAAGCCTTCTCTAACGAATTTGCAGCAACGTGAAGCGGCCTCGATCACAAACTACCACCATCCATGCTGGGCCTTCAAAAAAGGTCGTCAAGGTCTCTTTCCAGCTGATCACTGTATCAAAATTATTGGACACCGAGGTGAGCAACTTGTTTTGAGAACGGCATGTCCTTCACGTCTGGACCATGGTTCAAACATCCTTTTCAGCTGAAAACACTACGAAGACGATGATAATCCGAACGTGCGCTCTCGATTCCGGGACGCTCACAGCTGACACAGGTTTTTGTGACTCATGTATAGTTAACGTTTAATGGTTATTGCATTGCGTTCAGTGGCAATCAAAGTTTAACGAACACGAACACATTGGGAGCATTCACTGCAGCCGTTTCTCGAAATTTGATGTCCAGGACGGGGATAGCCTCGAATCTGGATTTCGCAACAAGCGTTCACACTTGCTTTCGTGGGAGGGGAGAAGGGAAGGCAAGCACACCGTGAGCTCGAGGTTGTTGTGCTTAGCGAAGGTGCAGGTTGTATTTGGGAACTTATTGTTGGTACATTAGTCCGGTAGCCTCCCCATCGCCGGCGCCAATGTTGGCCGCCATTTTGCCCTTCTTCGCTTATTTGGCCGTTGTCGCTTCTCCCTTTCCCCTCCCCCCCCCCCCAGGATCCTTACGAGGCCGGTTATCAACTATTTAATATCGTTTCTTGTTCTATTAATTTTCTGTTATTATTCATATCTGTAACTATCGTAGATCTCGCCTTTCACTATTCCTACATTATTTTTGAGACCCGTTGTTGTGCAATACCTGCAAATAAATAAATAAGTGTTGCAGCTTTACATACGGTCCCATTTCTCGGGTTCTAATCCGCCTTTCATGTTTTTTTCATCTGTGCATCTACGACCACCCCCCCCCCCCCCCCCCCACCCCCCCCCCTCTTTCTTACGGCCCCTTTTTCTTCTTAAAGTCCATCTATTAAGGTAGTGTATGCGATGCCTGAGAGGAGAAGCATTGAAGGGGGGGGAGGACATCAACGGTGGAACGGCGTGGTGAGGCTCTCTAAATCCCTACCCCTCCTCCTCGTATCGTTGGCGCGCTACGTGATAGGTCATAATCCCCAAATCGCCTTCACTTCTTAGCCACTGCAGTCGCCGTTCTCATGTGATTCCCGAGGAAGGTTGGAAGTGGAACAAAGGGAAACCTATTCAGTCGACAGACGGAGAATGTCCAAATGGGCGAGACGATGAACGTTTCGCTATGAAGACTATGTCCCAGCGCCCTAGCACGGCCGTACCTATGGTGCTGGACCCTGTGCACGCCCGCCGATAGGTGAACTCTCGCCGTCTGACTCTGGCCGTTTGGTAGAGAGAGAGAGCGTCAGCGTTAATGAGAATGAGACGAAAATGAATGAGGGGTGATCGTCATATGGCGCAATCCTATTCACATTGGAGCGCACCTGCCGTAATTACCACATTCCATGAGTGAGGCAGGAGAAAACAGCGCAACACATGTCTTGTCCATCCTCTTATTTGGCATCAGGCCACGCGAAAGCTAATCCGCCCTTTTTTGAATCATTAGGAATCTTTTGACCCAAATTTCGAGAGATCAGATTACTAAAGGTCCACGGGGAGTTGAAGCGTACGCGACAGTTGTATCGACCGCAGCAGGATGGTTGTATGACATCTAATCCTTTTTGGTGTGGAGGGAACCTGGTAGTAAGTAAGAATGCGTGAGCCAGGGGGAATGGGGCCAATTCAGGGGGGTGGGGGTGTGTGAGCCACTTAACCTGTGGCAAAAGTTTGGGCCTTAGTGTCTGGTGTCTGGCCTTGTGAGGGAGACGCAGAGGAGCAAAAGGATTAGATGTCACCCCTTAGTATCCAGCAGATGGGGTCATTGGCCATGTGCGCCTCTAAACGCCAAGTAGCGAGGGCGCGCCACTATGAACGCCTCCCCGGTGAGATGATGACAGCGATGGACCGCGTAACAACGTGAAATACGCGGCCAAAAAGGCCCGTTTCTCGTTTCTAGGATCGTTTTCCGGGTTTTTTTTACTTCATCCCTGCTTCACTGAGCATTTGTATTGGGTTGTTTTTTTTATCGAAAACTCCACCTTTAAGTAAATACACTCAGGTGCACGCTTGACTATTGTATGCTAAGCCTCGGTTGTCGATTGTAAGGGATCGTCGAACAATGACTGCGTTAGCAATTCAGGAGCACGTGCTATAGCCTCATTTTTTCCTCAAGGCGATGGACGACCATTTCTTCAATGGGATGCATGTCCCTCGTTTGAGAGCGTTTATTTAATGCTGAGCTGCTTTGAAGCAACTTTTTCCTCATATCTTAAAGGCAAAGTTCGGGCTCAGACCCACCTAATGAGCCCTTAAAGTGGCTAGAAGCGCATGGGACGCAACTGCAGGCGACTCGCCAAAATCCCGCATCGAAATGCGTCACTAAGGCGCTAGGGGCCAAGGACTTTGACACGCTCCACCTGTTGCGACACGCTCCGCCCACCGCTCGATATTTTGTCTGCGTCGCAATGCTGATCTGCTATGCTCTCTCTTCTCGGATTTCTCTACCGCTCTCCGCGCTCACATTATCTCTCATCTCCCTGCCGGCCTTTTGAACTTCTCCGCAACGTAGAGCAAAAGGCTCGCATGTTCCTGTGTATTTCACGAATTTTTCGCGGGGTCTTTCCATACAAGCAGTACACCTCCACCTACACTCGACATATTCAATAGAAATATCCGACTCAATCTCGTCTCAAGCTTGAACATATTGCACTTTAAGATCGTTACGCCAATCAGCTTCCCATGCAAACTCCCGATAAGTTGACGCTGCCAATGGAGACCCACCGCAGCAGATGCAAAGTCCGCAGTTGCAGCAGCGGTAGGATGCTCTGCAGCTTTGGCGTGTAGGGCTTACTCACTGCTTTATGAATGTGTTCAGCGAAAGGCTGGTGTACGTCTCTCCATATACGGCACAGAGACATCACCATCACTTGGGCGCGACTTGGCCACGACAAGTGCAAGATGTGAAGGTAATCGTCGGAGAACGGGAAGGAAAACAGAACGGAAATGGCAGCCCCATTGAAGATCCGATAACAAAAATGACATGTACCATGATAGTGGGAAGCAGAATTGCACTGGGGTCTGCTCTGTGCGTTCTCGAACCAGTGAACAGCACTCAATGACGGATCCTTCATCATTTCAGGACGAGGCTCAGGGTTTTAGATACGCATTACGTTCCTTCTACGCATTCCATAGCGCGTCCCTAACAGATGGAACAGCAAATTCTTGTTCGAGAAAAAAACATTGAGTTAGAGAGATCTCCCCAATCTCAATGAACCTTGGCGCAGACCCATGATAATGCTAGATAAGACCGGCGCGCCACGCTTATAACGGCACAGTCCAAGAAGAAGTAGGACTGTGTGATCGATCGCCCCTTTATGGTGCAATCCCGTGCATGGAAATCACCCGACAAGAGCGCTAGGGCCTTGCAAAGTAGCTGCAGCAGCTGCAATTTTTCATCAGGCTGTTGTCTGGCGCCTCTCATCTGTTGCGCTCTCTCGCCTCATACTCTCCTCTCCGCGCTTAGTCTCTCATTGCCCTTAGCACAGCCGATTAGAAGGTGAGCAAGCCCTTAACCTGAGCGTTTTCGACAAATTCTTTTCCTTTTTTTTTACTGCCGGCCCATTTCGCACCAATACTTTCATATTCGTGGGCAAAAAAACACACCAGTTTGGCCCTAGGGCATGGCTTTAACGATCTCAGAGGGATGTCGAAGGATCCCTATGTGACGAAAGCAAAACATTCTGCCTTTTCTTTCTGAACTCCAATCAAGTACTTTTCAGAAATCGTTCGGATCAGCCATTGTGGTCATTTCAAATTCGAGGGCTACCACTACACCGGTTGCGTGCAGGCGTGCGATTCGGACGGCTGCAACTCGTCTCACGTGCGCTTCAGTACCGCCTGTCTGAGCACTGCCGTCGTTGCGTGGCTGATAACGAATCTGCTACGACCGTAGCCTGCACACACACCCACCGTAAATGGCGCGTAGCCTCGAGGATCCGACCAGCACGACGATGACGACCACTTGGTCCTGAAAGTATCTCGATTGTGATCGCTAAGGCTATGGATGCGCCGTGCATCTGGTGATGTGTCGGTTCCTCGACCGCACGTGCGAAACGCTCTCATCAATCCGGGTCGAGTCCTTCCTCTGTCAGTGTTCAATGTACGTATATCTCATGTTTTGATAAGCTATGATAATTGAATTATATGATCGTGAGAAGATAACATTTTATGTCACGCCATAAACTTCTAGTCATCCCCTTTTTGATACTCCTACAGTAGATTAGGACTCACTGCCAGAATCATTCCTTTTCTCACTTTTCAAACAGTTTCTGTCAATCTACCAGTAGTCCATTAACCAGCGTCGTTTCCCACCAGGTATTGGCTTTCGTCTCCAGAAGTCTCGGCAATTGGATCATCCAAAGGATGAAATCCCGTGAGTGTGACTCTCTACTCTGTTTGTATTTCCTTTTCTCTCTTTCAGCGAATGAGACGTGTTACAAAAACTTCTAATCCATGAGTACGCAGAGATTGATTGGCTGGGACGCGCGCAGACGCGTCACGGCGTAATCAATCAATTGACCCCGTTCCGGTCAGTTGCCCTTCCTCATTTGATTAGTGTTGTAGACAAAATTCGTTATTTGACACGCTCAATGCGTTTGGCAATTTCTTTCCCTCCTCCTTCCTGAGCAGCACTCTACCGACTTGTCGCACCCATTAGGTTGCGTTCATAGTGTGCGACTCAACGACTTCGCGCGCGACTGAGTCGCGATTAGGTTAGGATTAGGATTAGGAGACGTGCTACTCGCGCTTTTGAATCGGCGTTTCAGTGATTTCCTTTACGGGTTCTTCTCCGGTCTTTTTTTCTCGGTATCGGCGACACGGCGCGCAAGTTCACCAAAAAATAGCATTCGACCAAAGAAATCATAAGGCACACGAAGACACGATGTCGCGCACTGTCGCTGTGGGCGGGACGCGCCAGGAAAAAGACCCGATGAAAGGAAATCATTGAGTACACAATTCACAAACACCAATCGCGCGACTTGGGTCGCCAACTATAAACGCGACCTTACCGGTGACTTGCCTCTTCGAAAAGAAGTTCGAGCATCATTCATCTGTGGGTACGGTCGGTCCGGTCAGTCACTCTCAACGCAATCTCTGCCCTTAATTTCACCTTTCACATTCTAGTTAAGTCAACATAAGCAGAACACTCTTCCGATATTCTTCGCAAGCACCTCTATCGATCGGAAATCGAAAAAAGCGACGCCGGTTATTGATCCTTTTTGTTTTCATTTTCTTCACTCCAACAAAAGCCAAACAAACAACCCAGTGTTTTCGCGGATCTCCATTGCCTTTCACTCTCTTGTCCCACTTACAATTAAAACTTATCGATAAATTCTCACCATTAATGCAGAAACGTTATGAAAGTTTTTCTTCCCATGAGAACTCTATTTTCCCCAAATACCTTCGAATCAGGAACAGATTATTTGAGTGATGTAAATACACAATATATGAGTTTGCAACATTATCTACGAATGCTCCGTCATCTACATATACAGTCGAGATCCGTAAAGTTGGGGTAGGCGTGTCACCGGAAGTGACGTGGACTTGATAGAAGTTGCGTAGGTAAGTCGTTGCCAGCATGCTTTGCTGATATCTCGCGATATATATTGGAAGCACCTTATCCACATAGATTCTATCAAGTACACGTCACTTCCGGTGACACGCCTACCCCAACTTACGGATCTCGAGTATATTACACAGATTCATCAACCTGCACAGGCAACGCCTTATTCACGTAGTTTCTATGTTTCATGTTTTTGTGCTGTTTTCGACATATTTTGTTCTTCCACATGAGATTTCACGTTATAAATACTATCTATGCAGATTTTATGTCTTGTGTGAATCATTGGAACTAAATAAATTAAGTAAAATGGTGTCGCAAGTTTTCAGAATAAATTACAGCTAAAAACAGACAGCCTTTAAAAGGCAGGTAGCACGATAATTTGGATGTAAAGAATGCAGAGAGTGTGCCATTGTGAGAAAATCCAGTGCCTGTAATGGAGTGAAAGGTGGCGCTTTTCGGCTTAAAGGAATCTTGCGCGGAAAATTCTTGCACTCTTTCCTAACATGAATATGTCAGTTGTGATCACTGGAAATAGCACACAAAGTTTCACGCATGAAGATTCGGTTTCTGAAGAGAAACAAACGTACAAAAACTACACGTTATGGACCATCGAAGGACCAGGAGGCAGAGCCAGGCGAGGCATGGAAAGAAGACGGCGTTTGGCCGGCTACGTACCAGGCGACGCAATGAGAGAATCGGGTTAAAGCGCGCGATTTCGGAGAGTGGAGACAAATCGATCGATGGAATAGGATGGAGTAGAAGTGTAAGATGTGAATGCAACGAAGCAGAAGGCCAGAAAGAGCTTCTAGTGAATGCACTCCAAGAACCAAGTTTGAGCATCCCCGTCGCCAGCATTCGTGAAAGACGTCCGTGGGCAATTCGAACGCGTAGCAGCCTTTTCGAGTTTTCGAATTTCTAATCAAAACGAAAGCAATACTTCAGTTCTTTTCACTATTATCGTGGATAATGATCACCATGACCCAGCCGCTGCCCACTTCTGAGCGTCTGCGCTTCAGCCTCTCGCGGTTGAGAATCTGGATGAAACTCCAAATAGTCGAGCAACCATTCATATTTACTCAACCCCTGGCTCGTTTTTTCACTTAAGACACGATTTATTCGGCCAAAATGCATCATCAGATCGGAATGTAAACGCCGGAATGTATACACCGAAGATCTTATTAAAATTCTTGAAGAACCTCTTCAGCGCAAATTCCCTAATTCGGCGCAATTATCACAGTCACTGTAAAACTGAAATGTAGATGAGACAATGGGTCTACTTTGATAAGGTCCATCGCTGTTACTTCACAAAGACTACAGCAATCTCAATTTTGCATGAAGAAGCTCTGAAGAGGCCTGTGGAAGCAAAAGCAAAACGATTCTCACACCACAGGGATCCCGATCTCCTTCTGCCAGGAAATAGATTTGCTGTAGGAGGAACAAACCACTGCGCGATGGTGCCTCCCCCTCCCCCCAATTGTAACGAAACCGACAGTATAAGTGAAAGCAGTGGAAAACAAGTGTAACAAATTTATTGTCCACACATAACAATAACAAAAATTAATTGTATCCATAACTCTCAATGATCTTCTGGTACGGAGCAATCTTGGCAGCGGCGTTTTTCTTGGCCTAAATGGTATGAAGTTTTAGAATAGTTAAATGTGAATAATCAAACACCTCTATATGTGTACACATTTGTATCGCTACCACTTCACTTAACCTGACCTCAGGTAACGCATGGGAAAGAGAATCAAAACACGGTAAAAGCATTTTGTCGGGGGGAGGGGGGACTGAGGTCGAACTCCTTCATAAGGCGAATCGCCACCACCCAATAAGAATACACAGCCATGATATTCTCATTTTCTACCAATTACTAATTCCAGCTTAATGGGAAGAAAGAATGGAAAGAGGTGGGGTGCTATACAAGTAGGGTGGGCACGCCGCATTTTTTGAACAGAAATGTATGTAAGTGGGACTGCTGCCCGCTACTATACTGTCACGAGAATCGGGGAATTCGTGAGCCAGGGGGAGTGTAGCCAATCTAGGGGGTGGGGGGTGAGGGCAGTCACTTGACATGCGTGAAAAGCTGGGCGTGCCCACCCACTTGTATAGAGCCGAGGGGAAACTCGTA